GAGTTGTTTTACCATGTACATTGTTTTAAATTGTGTATATTGCCTTATTTCTTTCAATTTTCATTTAGATTTGTTGAAATTATGTGATTTACTAATTCATGTATATGTTGTTTTGGCTATTCAAGTGTATCCTAAGGTGAAAGTGAGGGAACTAGAACGCGATGATGTAGCTATTACTCTGCAAGATGATACCAATTCCTTGTCTTTGTAGAAGGCAAACAATCACCCTGGTCACTATGATCCCCTTTGTGAGGAGAGACCCCTCTCCTGAACCACCCCAAGTATTTAATTGCATCAATGGGTTAAAGTTACAAATTTTTTTTACCTTTTCTCTTTCCGAAATGGGTTATTTGTAATGCCCTTGCCTTCATTAGTAATGATAGAAACATGCTTATCTTTAAAATACCATATACAGGCTACTTGATCTTGGTATTCACCTCTTCTTTTAAAACGTTTCTCATTCAAATTCTGAGAAGTGGAATGCCACTTGATCCATCATTGGTTGCACTGGTTGATTTAGTGAGTTAGGTGGGTGCTTTTTTTTTTTTGAGCTTCAAGTGAGACGTGCTTAACTACAAGTATCTTCTGCAGTGAAAGATACTCAAAACGATTCTCCACCATTGGTTGCCAGAATTTCAGAAACTTATGTCCCAAAGTTGGTGATGCCACCAATTCCTTTCGTTAATGGTCAAATTTTTAATCTAACTTGATTTTGGTCCCCTAATCTCATTGGCTTTTTTAATTTAGTGGAGGGTTCATGTGATTGATCTAAGGTGGTGCTTTTTTGTTTGGATATTTTTTGTGTATACAGCCTCAATGATTCTAGAATGTGAAGTATTGACTCGCAGGAAGAACCCTTATAATCCTGCTAATGGGTTGATTACATTTCTTGGCTATCATCTGTGTTGTTTTAACATGCAGGCATGCATTAAAGATGCATATGCTATTATGGGCAATGGACAATGCTGGCCATGCAATTCTTAATTCGTTGCAACTTAAATATTATGGAAAATACTTGCATCAGGTACAATTTGAATTATTATTCTTTTTTGGAAATAATGTCTACCAAAGCCTAATGTTACTACCAATTGATTAAGTAGAACTTTGTTTGCGTGCGTAATGGTCATCCTTTTTTTATCTGAAGACTTCTTTGTGATAGCATGTGAAAAATAGGAAAATCCCTTATTTTATGTCTATCACAAATATTATTATCAAATTCAACATTGTTCTTAGTATTATTGTTATTGTCATTCCAATGCAAACAGGGTGCATTCATTCTCTGTTGTAAGTCATCAAAGAATAAAAGTTCTGCAAAAATATAATGGAGATGATAGTATTGGAACCATTTTTTGACTTACTATTTGACTTATAAATAGAGTACAAGGAAACTTTTTCTGAGAAGAAATGGTAAAAAAGGCTAACATAATCATAACTTTGCATTTAATCCATTCTTTGCGAAGATTCCTGTCATCGGTAAAAAGTAGTTAGGTACAGTACTTCTAATCTACTCAGAACAGGGGAACATTGATATGAAGAAATACACAACCTGTTGAAATATTAGTAAAGACAGAGTATGCATGACCATTCCATCACTTGGTAATTTCAGTTGATACGTATTAGCATTTTCAAAAGTGGATCTATGTTTATTTTACTGGAATGTTTGTGGTGATTAACTCTCAAACTTGGTTGGCATAATGCCATGTAAAGCACAATAGATTAATTCAATTTTTTTTGGATGTCTAAAACAATTTCTGTTTGTATAGATGTTTTGCTTTTTTGGGAACTTGAATTAATTTTATTATGGTTCTTATAATAGGAATTAAACGGGTTCCAAGTAGTTCATTTCATTGATTGCATTTGAAATAGAGGCTAACTATTGAGTTGATACTTAGGTATGTCAGCATGTAGGTTTGGTTCATTAACTAACGGAATGGATATGAGTAAGAATGGAATGAAAAGCTTGATTAAACATTTGTTATTTTGCTATTTTATTGTATTTTTTATCCTTTTTTCATATGTCATTTTTTATTGGTTCTTTGGTATTTAATGGTACTTTCCACACAGTGGATGTTATTTAGTATCCTTATTATTTCTGTAAACTCGTGCTCCTTTATTTAAAAAGGAAAAACAAAAAATAAATGTGTGTGTATGTATTCATATCAGTCATCCTACTCTTTCTTTTTGTTGTACAAAGGAGACAAAGATATAGACAAAATGGGGCTTAGAGAGAGACGAATCAAATTTGAGAATCAATCTTCGTATCAACTTTAAAAATTTTGATGCTTTTATTTTATCTAACAAAATTTTTTTTGAGATAGTGTATTTTATTTTCACCGAGATTAATAGAACAAATGATTATTTTTCATTTGGATGGTTGATACAAGCATCTACAAATCTAGAGTTGAAGCAGAGAATTCCATTGTTCAATCTTCCCTCAAAATTTTTGTTAGTTATGTTCAGCTGTTGTTCAATAGTTTCAATCGGGTTTTTGTTTGGTTTCGATGATTAGTAATTGGTAGGATGGTTCCTCTTAAGAAACCCTTGTGGTCTATTTCATACACATCGATTGTTTGAGGATTGGAAAGACAACGTCATTGCTTCTACATGGTACCCATTTTTTAACTTAAGGGGCCTTTATATTATGTTTTTTATAATTTTCCTTACATTAGATTTTTTTTAACAACATTAGCACATTGATCAATAACACATTAACTTAGTTATGGTAACTTTGATTGAATAACAATCCATTCTTATTTAACTGTAAAACTTTTGTTCATATGTTGGTACAATTTACTCACAAATCGTTGAGATTGTGTTACGAGATATCATAAACCTTGGATCATTTTAATATTTGAACATTATTTGATTCAAGAAAGTAATTACCCCTTTCCCTTGTTTTCATTTGTGACAAAGGTCAAAATTCAATATTTTTAATATAACAACATATTTGGATGATTTTTATATACTAACACATATTAAATGTCGTATGTGATACAGTTTAAGTGGGGGGTGTCTTCAAGGATGAAGAGGAAGAAAGACAACTCCTGCTCTTGCATCACAATGAACGAATTATAGATCCCAGACTCTAATTACAGTGCTTACAGTGAAAGAGGACTACTTAAAATTTTCTATTCTTGGTAAAGATCGCAATGCACAATTATCTTCTGAACAAAACTCAAGCTATTACAAGCTGTCTTGGGAATGATTTTCAATTATTTGCCTTACTACTCTGTCTTCCTTATTGGTTTTTGGTAGTTTTTTTTCACTTTAAATTTAATCTAATTTTTCATGATTTTTACCATTGGAATATTGTACTATTATTCTAATCAGGGATTGGAATTGTTTGTCCGAAGGATTGAAATCGTTAGTCTAACAACAACTTTTGCATTTACTTTTGGAACGTTTTATGGTAGACCTTTCTTCATAGTCTTCTTCTCAATGCCTTAGCTTTTTGTGATACGTAGTCTTATATTATATTAGTCCTTAGAATCAATGTATTTTGTGTTGTTATTCCTTTTCCATTTTCTGTGTGGGGTTTTTTAAAATCTTGCAATTTAAGGTTGTTTAACCACTCATTTTTTTCGGAAGGCTTAATCATTCATTTTTCTGTGGGTGTTTTATGTGTAGGAGGTAACTCATATCTGAAAAGAGGACAAAGGGGCATGGATTGTCGTGTTCAGTTTTGTTAGTTATCTCCGTTTCCCAAGTTTCAAGAGATAGTTATTTACCAAAGATAACAATGATCATTCTATATAGACATAACTATAGGGATGATTATTTATTTATGCTAGGGCCTATTAAGGGTTTAATCATAACAGAACTCTTTGTAAAGAGTTCACGTGCAACAACTAGTGTTATATAAGCATGCTACTAGGGGCCACTCTCTACTATCCTTGGCATTCAACTTGTACATATCTTGTTAACCTTGGTCTTTCTAACATTCTTTGTTAAAACCTTTTGCCATTATATTTTCTGGCCACCAAAACCTTCTGCCACTTGTATTGCACACATACAATTATATTACTACAAGGATTTTTGTGTTTTGGGCTACAGACAATTTGAGTCAAATTCACCCTATTTTTCTAGTAAGTGTGAACATTGAGGAGATGATGCTACGAGCATCTGGATTAGATCTTGGAGTTGTTGGTGTCCGTGAGGAGGCTCAGCTATTTTAAAACAGTGATTACACACCTCTCAGACTCACAAGTTAGCTCTTTCTAATTTACAGTATTTATATTATTCCATTCTAAATTGATTTTTATTTTATGTTTGTTTATATATTTTTGTTAGTTTGTTATATTGATATTAATTTGTCAGTTAAAATTATGTATAATCATACTAATTTTCCCAACATAAAGTGTTAAGGCGAATTAGACTTGATTGATTATTTTAACTATGGTAGGAAGTTATTTTGTCATTACAATTAAAAGGTTAAGTGTTCACAATTATAGTTCAAAATCACATGAAGTTTATGTGGTTCTATCATCTTGTTTTCTATGATTTCTCATAAGCAAAAGAAAAATCGTAAGAAATCGCAATTACCCAAAATGGTCTGATCCACCTTCTTTTTCTTCTTCGCGAACCATACGCTAACCATAAAACTGAGCCTCCTTAAATCAGAAGCCCCGTGATAGAGAAGTGAAATGTTTCAATTTTCTCTAGGTTTGTAGAGATGGAATTCAGAGAAGCATCTTTTATATATGAGCAATGTTATTGAGACGTAATTTACTGACCTAATTTGTTTACTTAATTCATTATGACCTTTGGATTGACTGTGGGACCTATTAAACATTGGAATTTGATGTTGATTCAATAGTTCTATTGAAATCACATCATTATGTCAGCAAATTAAGTCGGATTTTTAGATTCAAATAGTATTATTCTTTATATATCCCTCATATTACATTGGTAGATACATTACATATTGTTGCAATACCAGTTTGGCTTCATTCATGAGACAGATTTCCATGAATGGTTATTTATTTCCAGGCTATCATCAGTCACCAAGCTAACCTTCCTGATCCTAGTCCTTCAGATCCTGCAAAACAAAAACACATGCACATGAGAAAACAAACGTGAAAACTCATTGTAACTTTCGGTACTTGCATAATACAAGATTGTCTCCTTCGAGTTACGCTTAGACAACTTTAAAACGTTTTGACAATAATAGTTAAAAATTCACACTGACCAAATCTAACCCTACGCCACACCCTGCAGTGGTAGGAGTATCTCAGACTGGGTTACCTTTTTTCATCAAACCTTTCACGCACACGCACAAGCACTCGCGCCCACTCATACTCACACTTCGTACTCAGATTTGGGATAAGGTTTTCACAATTATATGGATAGATGCCATCCAATACTTTAGTAGGAATGGAATAAGGCTTACTGATTATATTCGATCCTGATATTGCCGGCTTTAAGATCAGCAATCTTGGAGAAGGCATCTCGAGAGAGATTAATAGTTCCATTGCACTTTGAACAATAATCAACAATCTTTACATCTACAGTCGCGCCTGTGCAAGGTCTGGGAAATAAATTGTTGGCACCAGTGCATCTGACTCTATACCTTCTTCCACATGCTGCCCTATTGTTCCACAGGACGTTGCTTGCTCCGGCAACGTTCGAGTCACCATTTTGTTGGTTGGGGAAGCATGCCGAAGCTGCCAAAAATAGCAAGGCACTATTTAGGGGTGGTCTTATTGCACAATTCATGAATTCCACTATTTATGAGTCATTTCTTGTCCAAATTGCAAACAATTTGCTTGTCTCATTTAGAAAGTCATGAAAAAGATACCACTTATTAGGAATATACCAACATAACCTAGCTAGATTCCGGTATTCAATAACAACTGCACATAAAAAAGGCACAAGAAACAATAAACAAATTTTAGTACGAAAATCCGAAGATCAGAAAAACTATGGAGCCACACCTAGTCCACTATGAAACAAACAAAATACAATGAGAAATAACAAATATGCTGCTCTGCCGCATACCCCTAGGTTATAAAACAAGTGTTAATTGAATAAAAAATACCGTGTACCAAATAAGATCTAAAATTTTACCGATCATTTAGTATTGTTAGACTCCACATTATGTTATATCACCTTGTGCAACTAATTTAATCGAATTACATGGCAAAGCCTGCTCTGTACTCACGGTAATAAGGGGGATCATAATAAGTCGCAGACCCCTGGATGGCAGATACACCTGAGGCAAGGCATATCACTATGCCCACCATCATCAGAACTCTTGTTTGAACACCCATTTTCTCTTTCTTTTTTTCTGCTTCTAACACCTGAAAATATTTACCTTGTGCAAAACTAAGGGCTTTCCGCCTTTTATAGTGAAAAAATGCAAAAACAAAACTATAGGTCTTGGTCTTCCCTAGTTTTCCAAAGGCCCATGGAAATTCTACAAAGACTAAAAATAGTGAAAGGAATAAAACGTAAGTAAGATAATTAAATGAAAAATGGGTTGGTTATGTGACTGAGCAAGAGGGCGACTCGTAAATCACTACGTCACGAGTTCAAGTTTCACTTGTCGCACAAAATCAAAGAGCGGTTGTCCATGTTGGAAATTTTGCAAGACTCCATAATCGCTTGAGTGGCAACATATTTTCACCCTTTATTCTCGGTGGAAGACCTGGAAATTTTTCCAGTGGGCGTGGGTTGGGGGGTAAAACGAAGACACGGAATTCAAATGTTCTTAATTCTGGTATAATTGGAAAAATCCAATCCCATTCGCAAATTCCTGGAATTTGAGAAAGAGAAATTATGTGTCCACCAAAATTTTTATAAAATTTTTGTGTTATATTGATAGCCATTGAATAGTTAGTAAGAGTTTGTGAGACCTATTGATTCTATAATTTATATTAATTTGAGATTCAAAAATTAATAAAAAATTTATTGCATGTAACATTGTTATTTGAGAAATTGGGCTTGAGGAAAACAACTATAGAAAAGCCAACTAACTGTTTTTATGGAAAACTTGAAAAATCGTTGGAGACTGTGTGTTCAAAGTAGAGGAAGAGACTATTCGCGAAATAATCACAAAAATCGTCGTCAAAGTCAAAATTGAGTAGACACGTTTCACACGTACTGTCAAAATTGAATAGACACGTTTCACACGTACTGTTTCCACGATTATAACTTTGCCTAATTCCATCATTAGGCCTTCAAATGGAATACATCTTTAATTTATTAGCCTTACTCAATGATTTTCCATTTTAGGTGTGTTTGTCCTTTGTTAATACAAATACAATTTCTCTATACTCGTTATTGCTACGTTATAAAACGATAAAAAATAGGGAAAATTTTAGCCACACCCCCCCCTAATTTATCATAACTTCAAGAACACCCCCTCTAATTATCAAACACATTACTAGCACCCATTCTAGTTTATATTTAAATATCATTAACACCCCCTATCATTAAACTACCATTTCTAACAAAAAAATAATTCATCTAAATACCAAAAATGCCCCTATATAAACCTCAAGTAATTTTTCTGAATAAAATTTTATTAAAATTCTAACTGATTAAAATTTATTTTTTTCCATATTAAAATTTGAACCAATTAGAATTTGATTGAAGCTGATTAATTTTTTTTTTTTAACGTATTTGACGGTGTAAATCAATGTAGTGTAAACTTATGGTAATGAGCAGATAGAATAATCAGTCTCTGACTAATAGGATATGAGCTGCAAGGCTCGAAAGAACAATCAATGGGAAATTGGGGGATTGACACGATAGAATTATAGTAGTTTACTAGCTCTGAAACTCGGCTAATCCACTTTTCAAATGGAGACTCTTGCTCCCTTTTTCTTTACTCCTCCTTCAGAAGGTTTACAAGATAGAGTATATGTTACTAGGGTCCGCTCTCCCTTTGGGAGAGTTACATAATATTTATAGGGTTGTTCTTAGTTTTATGGGATCTACCCCGAGATCTGTGCTATTTATTCGAGGAACTCTCCTTAATCTTAAGAGAAGATCTTGGCTGATTAAGGATTTTATGTCTTGAACATGACTCTTTGCCACCTAATAGCTTTCTGTTATCATCCAGTTGTTTCTTTATCACTTCTGTTGTTGGCGCACCTGGGGGGAGGTCTAGCTCTGACTTGGGCTCTGCGTGTCTTTCTTGACTTTTTTTCCAGACCTACTCGTCTGACCTCTTGGTCTAGCCTTCTGGTCCGACCTCATGCTTGAAAATTACTCTAAGTAATATAAGTATTAAAATTCGAGCCTATTAAAATTTATTTTTTACATATTAAAATTTGAGCTGATTTAAACTCTACCCGAGTTTGTTAGGGCCAATTAAATTTCGCTTTTGAGTCGATTAAAATTTATATTTTTTTACTTATTAAAATCCTTGTCAATTAAAATTCGATTTATTAAAATTTGTGACAATTAAAATTTATATTATTTTATGTATTAAAATTTGGGCTATTTAAAATTTGATTTGAGTCGATTAAAAATAATTTTTAATTGTTTCAAATAGAATTTTAATTAGTCCAAATTTTAATACGTAGAAAATATAATTTTTAATTTGCTCAAATTTTAATATGTAAAAAAATAAATTTTAATTAGCCTGAATTGAATTTTAATTGGCCCGAATTTTAATATATAAAAAAAATTAGAAAACAGCAGGAGTCTCATTGAAGATATTTTTATCTAGAGGAAGTGTGGATGAAGTTTGTCCTCAAATATATCATGGGCAATTTAGTAAAATTGTATTTTTATTAATATTTTTAATCTGACATGGGATATCAATGAAAATTCAGAAAATATATGGGGTGTCCTTGAAGATATAGTAAATTAGAGGGGGTGTAGTTGAAATTTTTCCTAAAAAATATGAAATTCACTAAACACAGTTTCATTTAATCCTAATTTTAGGTGTATTTTTTCCAGGCCTAACTTTTTTCAGTTTTTGACCATTGCTGATAGTCCTCGTACTAGCTAACTCGGTCCTCAGTGGAATATCTAGAAATTTTCCAGGTTTTGAGTGGGGGTGGGTGGGGCGTAAAACGAAGACTTGGAATTCAAATGATATTAATTCTGGTATAATTTGACAACATCAATTCTATCTGCAAATTCCAGGAATTTGAGAAATTGGACTTGAGGAAAAAACTATTGAAAAGCCAACTAATTGTTCTCACGAAAAACTTTTAAAATGGGACGAGCAGATAGAGATTTTAGAGATTAGGAAAAGACTAGTATTAACAGATTTTTAAAATTAAGTCTTTTGTGGGTGGGTATTTTATGAAAAACTCACATGTTTTGAAAAAGGTACAAGGGTGCGTTTGGCACCAATCTCATATTGAAAGAATGAGAAAAGTTTTGTGGGCATATAAAGAATACTGGAGTAATTACATTTACTTTAGTACAAATGATCCACTACAAAACATGGAGCAACCCACGGTCGGAAACAGCGCCCGCACGCAATGGGGTGCTTTGATGGCGCACTTTTGTCTTAGCATGTGAGCCTTGGCTGTTGGACACCTAAATGGCGCACTTTGCACCTACGCCAATATGAATCGGGCTGATCGGGTATGTGGGTGCGACGATTGGGTGCGTCCATTATATATGGACATGGCTGTTAGATCAACAGTTGAAATTCAAATGTGCAGAATTCAAATTAACAGAAATTTGAATCTAGCACCCATCGGCTAATAGACACTAATGGTTCTATAGATACAGTACCTTCCCAGACCAAAGTTAGAATTTCATATTTCTCTCCTTCTCCTTACACAACATTCTGTTCATTTCGTTTTGCATCTAAAATTTTGAATATCTACAGAATTAGTATTACAGTTCTCGGCTATTTAGTTTTTCCCGTGGATGTTCTTGGTTGTTTTCGTTAGTGTAAAAATGCAAACAAGTCAGGCTTCATTATATCTTGAAAGTAGATTTATGGATTTTCCGTGTATACACCTTATTCAATCTGGTGGGGGCAAATACTATTTTTAGGAAAGTGTTTCTACACGACTTAAAGCCATACAAATTGTCAGTCAAGTTGAAAAGTTCTAGTTTTGTTCAATGCCAAACAAGAAGAAGAAGAGTTTGATCAACAATCTCAACAACTATGTGTTCAAAGTTGTTGTTTCAAGAGAGAGAGAAACTATGTGAATCTTCCATCATGATTATACACGTAGAGTGCACGACACTACCTATTACGCTTTTTAAACTTTATGATTAAATAATCAAAAATTAAAATCTATTGCTACCACAATTACTTCTTCTCACAATGATTAGTCAATTAATAGTGAGAAATTTTTTTTTAACCCCATGAATTTATGAAGATTAATGTTGCTAATTTGTCAATTAAAATACTCAAACACTCAATCTCACATAGGGATCCCAACCCAATGACCCAAACCATTAGATTCATAACTATGGATGATTTAGATATCAAACATTCATCTAATCAAACACATAGTGCACGCGTGTTCTCAAATTGCAAGTGTGTATGAAAAAAAGATAAAAAAACACAAGCAATATATTGACGCGAAAACCCCCATCAAGAAAAAAATGCCGGAAAACTTTTCAGTTCAACAAAGCCTAATTCAGTACCCTAAAATCAGTTTGCAAGTACTCAAATCTTATACCTCAACCAATATCATGATTAGATGCTCCCTTCCTTCAATAAATCTTTCCACCGGATACACCCACCGATATCTTGGATAGCTTTACTTGGATTCTCCACCACAATGGATCCTCTAGGCCTCGAGCAATCTTAGGTGCACCATCGATCCTTGGTATGCACACTCCAATTAATTTAGACTTCAACCAAACAAGATCTTCTTATCCAAGTTGTGAGGTTATATGAAAATCATTAGATGATAGCCTTACGTTTTAGGGATCTAGAGTTGTGATAGAAGCTTTCTAGGTAGAAGATAAGATTTATCTCTCAAAATACTCATAAGAGGCTTTTCCAAGTGTAGGAAAAGTTTTTCCCATGGGTTTGATCAAACCCCCATTTGTGGGGTTTGGGATTCAAATCCTAGACCCCCAATCTTGAATCAAACATTAGTTTAAAAGGTGCACTAGCATCTAAATCTCACTAAAACCCACATGCCAAACTGGTCGAAAAAGGGTTAGTCACACTTTGTACTTTAAAAATGTACAAATATTTAATTCCTACTTTACAGTGCAACCTAGTCTAAAATGAAACCTAGTCTTAGTATGTTGTGCTTAAATTATTTTCCTATCTGATGTGATGGTATGCCATTCTATTAAATTAGGCAAGTCCTTATGATGTTTAGTTTCA